AGCCGGGAAGTAGAAATACACCAGCCATTTTAGCAGAGGAATGGAATACACAGGTCTGTTAGTCAGGGATTAGAGGACTGAGGAGGGGAAAGGGAGGCATGGCGGCGTTAAGGCAGAGATGGTCCTGAGGGAGGCAGCTGCCACCGCCAGGCTTTGAGAGTTCTGAAATCTAGACGGTCGGGGAGAGGCCCAGCCAAACTGCTGCTGACACCTCCACGAAGGGGCATGTTGGGCTGGTGCCTGTCTCCAGGAGCTGGGAGTGAGACCTGTGGGGGGAGAAGCTCTTCCGCCCCAAGAGCTTGAGGGTGGGTGCTCTGCTGAACTGGGTCTAAGGCCTCCAGGGCTGGTGCTGGCATCTTTGAGGAAGTACAGACAAGGATAAAGGCAAAAGAGAGGTCGGGTGCTGTGGCTTAATGCCTGTAATCCCAACTCTTTGGGAGGCCAAGGCAGGTGGATCACCTGAGGTCAGGAGTTTGAGACCAGCATGGCCAGCATAGTGAAACCCCATCTCTACTAAAAATACAAAAATTAGCCAGACATAGTGGCCCACACCTGTAGCCCCAGCTACTCGGGAGGCTGGGGCGTGAGAATCACTTGAACCCAGGAGACAGAGGTTGCAATGAGCTAAGATCACACCACTGCACTCCAGCCTGGTGACAGAGCAAGACTCTGTCTCAAATAATAATCATAATAATGAAAGCAAGCTAGAACCACCTTCTCCTTCTGAGTACACACTTGCCACGGTGACGCCCAGTCTCACAGCCTCTCTCCAGTCCCCCACGGCACAGCCTGACAGGGAGGAGCTGGGAAAGCAGCCATGTCTGCAGGGGCTCAGCTCCATCCTTGCACAGCAGGGCATGTTTGTATAACCTAAAGACGGCATCAGGGAGGATCGCAAGCCCACTGTTTTATAGATCATGGAATGGGCAGCACAGCACACTTACCATGTACGCGTTCACGGAATGTATCATCACGGACTGCAAATAATAACGACTCTTCTGGTCAAGGATGGACCGCATATACAACAGTGGTCCCATAAGGTTATGATGGAGCTGAAATCTCCCACCCCCTAGTGACGTCGTAGCCACGGTAATGTCATAGTACAATGCATTTTACTCACACAAATCTAAGATGAAAGAAAGAAACAAACCAAGCAAACCACTATGGATGTCCTTCTGAAAAGAGTATCATCTCCTCAAGAAGAGCCTCAGGCAGGTCCTTCAGGTGTCCAAAAGAAGGCACTGTTCTCATTGGAGGTGACAGCTCCATGCGTGTTCTGGCCCTGAAGGCCTTCCCGTGGGACAAGGTGTGGAGTTGGAAGACAGTGACCTTGATGATCCTGACCCTGTGTGGGCCTGGGTTCATGTGTGTCTTAGTTTTTAACAAAAAGTTTAAAATATAAAAAATAAAGTTAAAACAATTTAAATAGGAAAAAAGCTTATAGAATAAGGATACAAAGAAAGAAAATACTTTTGTATAGCTGTATAATGTTTGTGTTTTAAGCTAAGTGTTATACAGAAAAGTCAAAAAGGTTTTTTAAACTAAAAAATGTATAAAGTTAGAAAAGTTACAGTAAGCTAAGGTTAATTTACTGTTAACAAAAAGGAAAATACTTTTTAGGAGTTTAGTGTAGGCCAGGCACAGTGGCTCAGGCCTGTAATCCCAGCACTTTTGAAGGCTGAGGTGGGTGGATCACCTGAGGTCAGGAGTTCAAGACCAGCCTGGCCAACACGGTGAAACCCCGTCTCCACTAAAAATACAAAAATTAGCTGGACATGATGGTGAGTGCCTGTAATCCCAGCTATTTGGGAGGCTGAGACAGGAGAATCATTGGAACCCTGGAGGTGGAGGTTGCAGTTAGCCAAGATCATGCCATTGCACTCCAGCCTGGGCGACAAGAGCAAAACTCCCTCTCAGAATAAAAGAAGGGTTCACCTAGGGCTACCTCCACTGCAGCAAGTTCCATTCACGACAAGTGCCCTATGCAGGTGCACCATTTTAAATCGTTTTTTACTGAACCTTTCCTACATTTAGATATGTTTATGTACACAAACCCATTACCATCATGTTACAATTGCCTATGGTATCCAGTACAGTAACAGGTTCACAGGTGTGCATCCTAGGAGCAGGAGGCTACACCGTACAGCCTGCGTGGATAGTGGGCTGTCCCCACTAGGTGTGGATAAGTGCACTCAGTGACGTTTGCACAGTGTTGAAATTGCCTAATGATGCATTTCTCAGCACATCCTCATGTTATGAGACTCTAAATGAATCTCAGCCCCTCCCCTTGTTAGCACCAGGGGCAGAGTTGCCATCTCCCTTACTTCCCATCTGACATCGCTCATCTGCCAGGAACTCCTTGTTAGGCTACTGGGATTGGTGCAGTATAGATCACGGTTAGCTCGTTCCTGATCTCTGGGGCAGATTTGGTCTGGGAAGCTGGCGCCACACAGAGGGTGACCTCCAGTCACCAAATATCACTAAGAAAAAGGACACTGTTCAAAAGATGTCCTGTGAAAGCTGGTGCTTCTGCAGCGTCTATGTGGGCTGTACTTGGTGTAGACGCCGGAGGGGAGGAAGCAGTTGTTTTAAGTCCCTGCCCTCCTCTGGCTCCTGCAAATCATTTTGTATAGCCCCCCTTTGGGGGCTGTTTCTTTGTTAAAGTACAGAGACCAAGAACTAGAGTTTGCAGCCAGGTCCTAGGGTTCTGATCCTGGCTCTAATTTGCTAGCTGTTCATCTTGAATGAGTAATTTAATGTTTACAAGACTCAAATGACTTTTGTGTTAAATCTCCATAGTACCTCCAAGGGTTATGGTTAGGACCAAATACGTGTGGCTGTGAAGCGCATAGCACAGTGCCCTGCATGGTGTCAGGGCTTAATAAATGTGGGGAAGCTGATTAAATTTGCTGCACACTGTGGTGCATCTTCCTTGATTCCCTCCCCCTGCTTGCGGTGCCTTGAGCCAGACCTCAGTGAACATGGCCGGCAGCTGGCCCAAACTATTACAAAGGAGGCCATGGTAGAAGGGATCATGAGTTTCAAAGATACTCCCGATGGAAAGGCAGATCCCTTTCTGGAGGAGACAGAGGAAGATGGAAGGCCGGGTGCAGCTGGACCACAGCACCCAGGACATCTAGGAAAGAACTACCCGGGGCTGGTGGTCCTGACAGAGCCATTTTTATCAGTGGACAGTGGCCAGGCTGGACCTCCATCCTCTTGGAGCTGGCCCCTCCCCAGCACAGCGGGGACGGTGGACACTAATGTCCTGAGTGGGACCTCACGAAGGCAGGGAAGACAGCTGCAAACCACAGATGGCCCCAGCAAACCATCTGGGCCCAGTCCATGAGCAGTGCAAAAGCCCTCCTTTCCTGACACAGGACAGAGAGCTTTGAAAAGCCCACCTGCTCCCCTCCTCTGATCCCATTCCCTGGACACTAACCATATCCCTGCTTGGCAACCACTTTCACTCAGCATCCGAGCTGTAGACTCAGTCTTTACTTTCTCTTTAACAGAAATGTGGCAGAGTGTTGTCTCTACAGCCTCTTTGGCTATGAGCAAGGAACTGTGAATCCAACAGCCATCATAGTAGCAAACATGCTCCCCATGCGAAGAAGAAACAAAGAACAGGCTTTTATCAAGAATTAATCCCTACAACCTGGTCTGATGTCAATACGGACTCAGGAACATCTTCCAAAAATCTCAAACTCATCGTGGCCTCGAGAGGGCTAAGATCACTCATCAGGAGAGAATTATCTCCTTGGTACATTGCCTTTAGGCAGGAGAGCAGAGCTCTGCATTTTGTTCAACATATTCTATAGAATCTGAAAGGAGGGCTTTGGACTGGTTCACTTCAGTCACCCTGCAGAGGGGCCTTGCAGGAAACCCTGCAGCCTTCTCTAGGTGCACCATCTAACAATGGTGCTTGTTGCAATCTGGCATGGGAACGGGATTATAGTAATTTGAGCAATTTCTTCTGTTCATGATTCATATAAATTTCTAACCTGATAAAATATTAGCAGTCAAGCATAAACGAAAGTGTTTTACAAATATTTGATTTGCATACTTGACTTTGGCTCAAAGTCAATGAATGTCTGTATTTCTTAGCCGGGTATAAACAACTTTTGATACTGAAATCGAAGAAAAATAATTCATTAATTGCCACTTCTTTCTTCTCATATATGGCATGTTTCCTAGATAGCATATGTAGGGTTTTGTATATAATGTATAAGTGACACCTGGGAGGTTTTAAATACATATTGAGTGATAAAAGCAATGAGTCTTGCTCATCTTATGAAAACATGAGTAAAAACGTCAGTTGGAGGTTGAATTAATATTATAATAGCATCGTTCTCCAACTAGGGTATGAAGAATCCTGGGAGCGTCAGGGAGTGTTTGAAGCCACCAGAAAAATGTGGCACATCTTCCTCAAACTACACTTTATTGAAGAGTATGAACTTTTAAACAGTAAGTAAGACATGTGCGATTTATGGAGTAAAAGTTTTCATATGGATTTTCAGGTAGAATAGACTTAAACTTTTACCCTCGATTCTAGTGTCGCCTCTCCAGACTCCTCCTGTTGGAATATTTCTTCTCTGCCATGGGGCACTGAATAAAGTTTTAAAAACACTTCCCTTATTAAAACACTAGAAGGCAATAGCATGTGCTGTTCTCTCTGACTTCAAGTAATAACGGAGAAAGGTAACTTGAATAAGTGAGCAGCCTGTATTTTAAAATACTTGTGGGCTTAGCACTTCGAGTGATATATACAGAAGACAAGTCTAAGGATGTTTCTAAATAAATTCTTCAATTCCTATCACTAAATGTCTCAATGAATCTGCTTGAATGCATAAAGATCTGCATGTAGTGTATTGTGACTTGACAGGTATCTAACATGTATCTTCTCACATTCTTTTGATAAAGCCAGTATTTGCAATAAAGGCAAGACCAAACTTCAAGCCAAGATCACATATAAATTATCACAAATTTCCTGTTTGAACTCTCAATTGATATTATTTATTATATGCAATATATTGCATGAATTACAATAATTCAGAGATTATTATAATGTATAATTCTTTAATTCATGCATTTAAAGAGTCAGGGACATAGCAGACCACAGGCAGTTTTATTGCCTAGGATTTTTTTTTAATTTTTGTGTAATGGCACTGGCTTTACGTGCTCACACGAATGCTGCCTCATCACTTAACTCCTCGCCTCACCAAGTATGCTGCCCATGTGCAGAGGACTGAGGCTGCAGCTTAGCATTGTTCTTTTTCATTATTTACTCGTCTTGGCCTCCTAGCAGGCATTCACATGCCAACAAAAAATAGCAGTTAGCACATTCGTCAAAGAGGCCCCCAAAGTGCCCGTGTGTGGTGAATGTGCCTTCATAGTCACTGATCATGAAACGCTCAGCCTTATTGCAGCTGAGCTATAATCTCATGATCTGAGGACAAAGGTCTTTGCCTAGAAACACTTAAATGTATTCCACACACATGAAACCAGTAGCAAATAAGAAAGTTTAACAGACTGTGTGAAACCAGGAGACTTTTCTATTGGTTATAAACTGTTGCTTCAAAATGGAAGGAAGGAGTTGACCCTCAGGGCCTGTTTCATGTCAAGGGATTGCATTTTGGAGTAAACTAGCCAGCTAGAATGCCTGCCTCTGTCTTAGTTCTCTCTCTCTCTCTCTCTCTCTCTCTCTGAAGTGTGTGTGTGTGTGTGTGTGTGTGTGTAGTTGCCACAAACAAAACCTTAAAGCTAATGTTCTCTGCCCTCATGGATAGGACTATGTACTTTAACATATTCGGAGACAGTGTTTTGTGGTCAACCCTTGGGGCATACCCCATTGGTATTAGGGTATGTGTGCTAGGACCACAGAGGAGAATATTTGAAATGGGGACTGTGCCAGAAAGCATGGAACCATGGTCTCCTACCCCAGATGTCTACATCATGACTTGTTCATTCTTTTCTATCCATTCTCAACCTGCCCATATTGTTTTACCTCCTCCTCCTTATCTGCCTTGTTTGACTTCTTTAGGACAACGTCGCTCACCATGCCAAGTGAATAAGGGGAGGAAAGGACACTTTATGGGCAAAGTCCATGGCTGTCAGCGCAGAGGAAGGGATAGTAGGTAAGTTAGATACATGATGTCATCAAAACTGCTGTGAGGATTCATATTCCTACTGAGGAGGTGGAAAGGGCCAGTGCAGTTCTGAAGATGACCCTGGCGAATGGTGAGGATTCATCTCGCCACGTGGCTGTTGGGTGGGGATGGGAAATGGATGAACTGGGAATTCCACTGAATTATGGGAAGAAAATCCCTTTGATCCTAGTCCTCTCCCTCAGTGTTGCCTAGAAAAGAAGTTCTTGAAGGCGCTGTTGTAGTTCTTGTTGAAAGCCGTATAGATCAGGGGGTTAAAGAAGGAGTTGGAGTAGCCAAGCCACAGGAAGATGCTTTTCCAGATGGCGGGGATGTCACAGGAGCAGAGGGGACTGATGAGCTCCGTGAGAAAGAAGGGGATCCAGCAGAGTGCGAACACACCAATGAGGATGCCCACCATGAGGGCAGCCCGCTGCTCCTTCTGCTCGCGCCATGTGTCCCCTTCTGTCTGGAAGGTGACAGTGGCATGGCGGACTGTGAACACCATCTGGGGCTGTTTGGCGGGGTCCTTCACCTGTAAAAGACAAGCAGGGGTTTTAGGAGGAGCCACCTCTGTCTACCTGCCAGGCTGAACCTAGACACTGACAGGCCTGGATTCCGCACATCCAGTTCCAGGGAAGGTCCCAACGGATAGGTGTGGGAGCCTGAAGGCCCGTGGCACACACCGTCAGACGTGGGAACCAAGCACTGGAGCTGGGGTGTTTGCTTATGTCTTAGAAATGAAAGAACCGGATGTGATGGAATTGACGTCATGAAAATGGGCTCCCTATTGCTGTCTATTCAACAGAGGCAGTGGCATAAACGAGCAGGTGACATGGTACGCATGACTTAGTGGCAGAGGTGCACTAAGTCATCAAAAGTGTGCTAGATTGTACGCTTACGACCACATTTCCTACCATCTTTATAACATTCGGGCTCCTGTAAGTCCCCTCTATAATGTTAAAACTTTCTAGAACTTTTCCTCTGGCATAAAGATCCTACTGCTGTGCTCTGTAGCATATTCTGTGTGAGGCAGTCCAGTGGCCAGCACACTTCTCTCTGGGTCTATTCTGTATCTTCCTCTATGCCCCTATCTTTATGTAAAACAGAGACCTCAGTCTTTTAGAGCCTCTCCTTGGGTGCCCTCTAAAAGGGCAGGTTTCCACAGAATCAGGCCCTCCAGTTCACTTCCTTCTCTCAAGGAGTGGAATTCCTGGGAAAGGAAGCTCTTGCTCCATTCTGGTCCTATTTTTAGCTGTTGGGAGAAATGACATAATGAGTGTCTACTGATGAGGCAGCCTAAATATGAAGCAACTGTAAATTTACTACATTTGGAAATTACTCGATCCAATCAAAATGTGGGACAGCTTCTGAGTCAGCCATTCTCTGGCAGGTGAGATTGCATTGACATTAAATATATTCTTCCCCTCTCCACCATACTGTGACTCTAGTACACTTAAATGATTTACACAGCCTGTTCTGAAAGAGCATACTATCTTTTAGGCAAAGAACTTTCAGGTCAATCTAACTCACTTAACTCATTCTTGGCCGCATTTATAAAGTGGATTCAAAAGGAATTGACTTACTATCATATGGAATAGCAGGCGGAAATAGGAACACCGTGGTTAAGGCAATGTTACCTGATGAATAAATTACCAAATTTGTAGGATAGACTTGCTGATATTTATTTGCAAAACAGCATAACATCAAGTACTATACACTAAATTAAATTTAAAAGAAGATAATAAATAATAAAACAAATAGTCCATAATAAGGCAACCTTTAAAAACACATATAAAATAAGCACTGAAAATCTCTCTTTCTGTACCTCTTGAAGTAACTCTGTAACCAGAGTTACCTTTGGTTACTGATTTATCAATACATATCTGGAAATGCATTTGAGGGGATTCATTTATAGAAATCCAAACCATAATTAGCTTAATTTTTCAGCATAAAAGAAAGAGGGAAAGCTACCGATTTCCTTAAGAGAATTCAACCCCATAGTAACATCATGGAAGCTGTTTTCCCTATTGTCCCCAAACGGCAATAAAACAAGAATCTAGCTGGACTCTTCAACCCTCTGGAAATTCTGCTTCTTCTTGGCACATTTTTATGAGTGACAATGGGGACACTGGTCATACTGGAGACACTGGTCACACTGTGGAGGCTGATCACACTGTGATCACATAAAGAATGCTGGTCACACTGGAGATGCTGGCTATACTGGAAACACCATGGATTCTGGTCATACTAGAGATGCTGGTCACACTGGGAATGCTGGTTACACAGAAGATGCTGTTCACACTGGAGATTCTGGTCACACTGGTGACACCATGGATGCTGATTACACTGTCGATGCTGGTCACATTGGAGACACCATGGATGCTGTTCACACTGTGGATGCTGGTCACAATGGAGATGCTGGTCACTCTGGAGACATCATGGATGTTGGTCACACTGTGGATGCTGGTCACACTGGAGATACCATGGATACTAGTCACACTGGAGATGCTGGTCACACAGGTAACACCATGGATACTGGTCACACTGGAGATGTTGGTCACACCGGAGACATCATTGATGCTGATTATACTGGAGATACTGGTCACATTGGAGACACCATGAATGCTGGTCATACTGGATATGCTGGTCATACTGGTGAACCCATGGAGGCTGTTCACACTGTCGATGCTGGTCACACTGGAGATGCCGGTCACACTGGAGACACCATGGATGCTGTTCACACTGTGGATGTTGTTCACACTGTCGATGGTGGTCACACTGTTGATGCTAGTCACACTGGAGATACCATGGATACTGGTCACACTGTGGATGCTGGTCACACTGGAGACATCATTGATGCTGGAGATGCTGGTTACACTGGAGACACCATGGGTGCTGGTCACACTGGTGATGATCACACTGGTGATGTCAGTGACACTTAGTGCTTGATTTAGACATTTTTCATAGTTTAGTCATAGAACTCCAAGTTGTTCAGAGAAGGACATTTTTCTATTACCTTGTGAAATGTTGATTATTTTACTGGGCCATCTTTGGTGCTGTATTCAGCATCAACTGGCTTGATAGAAGAAAGAGTGACAGTGATTTAAAATGGTACCTCTGTGACTAATAAAGCCTCCAGCTGCTAGGAGGATCTTGGTTGCTTGTGGAGTTTCAGGTTTCTAATGCCCTCAAATGGTGAATTTGTTTGCTTACTCCATGGCTCTCTGATTTATGGACTCTTTAGCTCTTTGCTGTCTTCTAATCAATGGTTGCAATAAAGCAATTAATTGAGTCTGGAAAATAATGCTCTGTTAATTACTGCACCCAAACTGGTCATTAGTAAACTCACAGAAAGAGAGGAAATAGGGTTAAAAAGTGAACAGTTAAGCCAAATTAATTTTTCCTAATAATCTCTGAAATGCATGTAAAGCACATACCTCAAAATTTAAGATTCATTTATAAATTTTTTTCTAAAGGAACACTTAGCCTCATCTCCCTCAGCAAACAAGTTCTTTGGGGACAGGTACATATGTGTTAGAGCTTTCATTCTTCCAAAATGATTGTGTGCTAAATAATTATTTACCGGTTAATCATAAATATGATATGTTCTTTTATTTCATCCAATCACTCTGCTTTGCCTCTTTAATAATGTCGTAGATAATCAATGGATGACCGTCAATAATGGGTATTGGAATTAAGGGACAAAGACTCCTACCTTGGAAGTGTGGTTTCAGGTGATTTGCAAGTTGGACCACAGAATAAAAATGTTTGATTAAAAATGGTCTTACACATTAAGGAAGGCTCCATGAGGGTGTGAATAAAAATGGCCCCACAAACTTAGGACAAAACTAATTGTTCTATAACTGTAATAACAAACAAGCTTTTTTTCTTGTTTAAACCTCTTCAATTGATCAAGGACAATGAAGTTTTGTGAATATGCACTTGTAAACCAATTAATCCGTGTCAGCCCTCACTTCTGAAAGTCAGCCATTCAGGGTCAGACTCAACCTAATAAACACACCTCTGAGCATCAGTCATCCAACAGAAAACCCCATTCTGCAGCTGATGTCAGTCTGCTGCTCCTCAAGTGTCCCCCAGTGTCTGAACCCACACCACCCCAAATCATGGATGACTGGCACCCAGCTCTGCTCTGGGATATTGCTGTCAAGCATTGCTTCCTCTCACTATTCTGAGTGAAAGATTCAGCTTTGTCTATTTCAGATTCTGAACAGTAGTGGCATCACCCATGGACAGTTCTGGAGGTTCCACTGAGGTCATTTTGAAGACTCCCTGGGATCCTTGGACCACAAGCACATTCACTGGGCCCCACACTCAGCTGTCCTTTGCATCTGCAGCCAAGTGCATCAATCTCAACAAGGATTTGAGTTCCGCCTCATTTCACTGGGCTCTTAATGCTCAATGTATTTTGTTATCCTAAGATTTGTGACCAGGTATGTCCTGGATAAGGTCGCAAGGCTGAGGTGTTTGTATCATGTAACTAGATCTTTGATTGAGAGATCTACCATTAGGTAATTGTCTTAGATCTATGTTTAAAGCTTTCAACCTCTTGCCATGAAGATGTATCATTTGGCAAATATTGTCATGCCATTATTCTACTTATCCTACGGCCGCTTGCTTTGCTGTTGTGTTGTCTACATGTACAAAGCCTTGCTGCATGGGTTTTTGTTTTGTCCTGCAATGCCTTCTTCTGTTGCATACAGAAGGAACTATTCTGTAAGGCATTGGCTTGTTAAGTTTCCAATCTAATCCAAGCAGGACCTGAGCGCTAATGATTTGAAGACCATTATTAGGCCAGTGACCAATTTATGAAAAAGCAATTGATCAAACTTTGCTTGTGGTCCCCTACAAAACTTTTATGAGGGCACTCCTGACTTGTCGAGTGGTGAAAATACATCACTTGGCTCCATTGTTTTCCAGCTTAATGACAGTTGTGTGGACAATTGTGTGTCCCCTTCTGCCATCTGTTTAGTCCGGGACCCTGAGACACTATTCACAAGCACAAACTGTCAGCCAACCACAGTCACCTCCTTCTCGTGTTCCCCTGTGCCATGGCTTGCCCGTGTCAAAATCCCAATCTTCTTTTTTAAGAACTATTTCCTCTTTAAAATTGCATTATGATCCTAACCCTTGCACTTTTCTTCCACAAATGCCAAACTTTTTTTTTACTTAATGAGAAACATCTGATGAATCAAAAATTAATAAGTTATTTAAGAGAAGCTCTAGAAAAATTAGGAGACAAACATCAAATAGCTAAAATTCAGCCTCTTTAATTGGTATTTTGAGGCTTTAAAACAAAATTCTAACTCTGAAATAGTACCAAAGATTTTGTAACCTTCAGAAACCTACCATCTTTGCATATCTCTATCTTGTATTTTTCTATTCAGCTTTATCTGACCTTCTAAATGAATCAGGTTCTTCTCAGGAAAAACACAATCACATTATAAATTTACCAGAAGAAAAATCAGATTTATAGAATTTAAATTAAAACCCTTGTCTAGACCTAAGTTAAGA